ATATTAATGAAGGGCTCTAACAGGCCTAGTCTTGGCAGGCCTTGCCTTTACCCCTTTCCTTTCCCTTGTAAACCACAGATTGTATCTCTAAAACTAGCCACCAAAGTTTAGCTTATTCCTATGTTTAACTATCAAGGTCAAATTACCAAAGTTTTGAAGTCCAGCAAACAATATGCCACTTTAGCTCACCTAATTAACATGTCCAAACAAAATATATCACTGCATTTGTGCTAATTAAATGAAAATGGCCTCATAGGCTCATAGGAAGTGTCACTCTTCAGAGGTATGGCCTTGCTGGAGTAACTGTGATTTTGTTGGAGGAAAGGGGCTACTGGATTCTAGATTCCAAGTTTCAGATGTGCAAGGTAGGCCCAGCGTGTCATTCTTTCCTTGCTGCTTTCAGATCACGGTATAGAACTCTTAGCTAATTCTCCAGCATCATGTCTCTCTTCATGCTAGCATGTTTCCTGTCGTGATCATAGTGCACTAAACTTCTGGACTGTAAGACAGCCCCAATTAAAATGTTTTCCTCTATAAAAATTTCCATGGTTATATTGTCACTTAATAACAGTGGAAACCCTATCTAAGATGGTATCCTAGCCAATTCTAACAGAGCCTTCCCCTCTTCCCTCTTAAAAATCACACATGCAAGGTCATTTGATGCTGTTTTTTTACCAAAGTCAGAAATCAGCTACTTTTAATTTCTGCCCGCACTCTGTAAAAATAGTTATTTGGGTGTGGTCCAAAGGCCCCTACTCCCACCTTACTATGAGTGTGTATTCCTTCAGTTAATTCTTGGGAGAAATGAAAGCATGTTTTCTCATGCAAAATAGGGAAACAAAGACAAACCAAAGTAAGGATACCCAAATTCCACCCAGGTGAGCCAATGATTTTTATCATGGCCACTTACAGGAATATAGGTGAAGGGTTGGACGTGTGAAAAAAAAAATATATACTAAATGAGAGCCACATCATCAAAAGGTTATCCCATCATGAGTGGAGCCTCAGGAAGCCTGGAACACAAAGTACAACTCATCAGCAGCTCAAAAATGTGGATAATCTGCTTCTCAATTACCTCAATGGTTTTGAGTCTCTTCCAGCTTTCTCAGTTAGGTCGCTTCCTCCTCAAATTATCACAGCTGGTTTGGTGGTCTTTTATAAGGTTTCTCTGCCTAGGCGTGTGAGACACACACACACACACACACACACACACACACACACACACACACACGTATTCATGGGCTTCCTGGAGCTGCTCAGTTATTTACTGCTTAAGTTGAATAAGCATCCCTGAAGAATGGAATATTTCACCTCCTCTTAGATCACCCTGATCTTTCACCTCCCTTTATAGATACTTCATCTTCGTGAACTTCTTTCCAAGATGGAAAACTTTTAATCACAGGTAAAGTTACTGAACAACAGATATTTCACTTAAAAAATCCTGTATTCAGAAGGCTTATCTGAGCTGAATCAGCATGGTTATAGAACCACAATGGTGAGATGAAGATCAAACCAAAGTCTAAACACAGGAATTTCATAAAAGGCTGATGAGAATCCAAACAAACCTGCTCTCTGTTACACAAACAGGTAAACAACTATTGAGAAAATGAATGAACAATTATTAAATGTACCTTCCTTACAAAATTTTACAAGGGGCACAAAACAAATCAAGGTCAAGCCCAAGAGTGTCCTGTAACTCACTAAACCATAAAATTCAACAGTCACAGTAGGCTTTACAAATAAGATCAGAAGCCTCTGCCAATAAAGTGTTTGTCTTGTAAGCATGAGGACATTAGTTTGACCACATTGTCTTTCCAGAACTAAAGCAAAGATGCCGAGCATAGTCTAAGGCAGTTGAATCCTCATGAAGAGAAAGAGACACAGGAATCCTTGGCTTTCTGGCCAGTTTACTTTAGTTGGTGAGATTCGTATTAGGAGAAGAACATTAAAAATGTCTACAGCATTTCCAAGAATGAAATCTGTCTATCTGTCACTCTGTCTCTCCCTATCTCTCACATACACACACACAAAGACATAGATATAATAGATCATTTCAGAAACAAATGACCCTGCTCATTTCTCTCTGTTTATCCAATACACATTTGCATACACATAAGAGCCTCATTCTCATGTCAGAACACCAGGGAAATTCAGAATATAGAAGTTCAGAATATAGGAGTTCTCAGTATCTGATCACAGGGAAAATTGTCCATGAATTTTCTTCATTAGCAATTTGGAAGAAATTGAACAGGGGAGAGTAAATCCTTCAAGGTATAATATGATTTTTTTTAACTTTTATTAATTATACTTTATTCACTTTGTATCCCCCATAAGCTCCTCCCTCCTCCCTCCCCCCCATCCTACCCTCCTTCTCCCTTCTTCATGCATGCCCCTCCCCAAGTCCACTGATAGGGGAGGTCCTCCTTTCCTTCCTTCTGATCTTAGTCTATCAGATCTCATCAGGAATGGCTGCATTGTCAATATGAATTTTTATGATTTGCCCACAAACCAGAGGGAAAAAGTCACAATAAAAAAAGATGGACATGATTCTTTACCTTCTTGCTGAACTGGGGGTGAGAGAAAAATGTAATTTTTTCTTGCACACATGCCTGGGGAGATCCTACAATTCATAAGCGTTTCCAAGACACCATCTTGATCATATCTAAGTCTGACTCTGAGTCAGAATCACGAGGATTTCCTGAGAGTTAGGATCTTTGGGCCTCAGGCTATCTCTGTTCTCTACTCTAGACACATTTTTATGGTAAGTTGGAAACCCACACTCCTTGGATTTGCAGACTTCTTCTTATACCTAGAAAATTGGAAATTTCTTTCTATGATTTGGATTGAGCTAAAGATTTCTAACACTGTGGAAGGTATAGATGAAAACTAAACAGTAAAAATAAATAGATAGATAGATAGATAGATAGATAGATAGATAGATAGATAGATAGATAGATAGTAGATAGAAAGATAAATGATGGTGGACAATCTTTTAGCCAAATGGGTGGTGAATGGACTGTTCAGAATATATCTTCTCCAATCAGAACTTAATCACAGGATGATAGTTACAATAGAAGTTTTATTATCTGAATGTTAAAGCATTTAAGATGGAATGAGGAAATGGCTAACAGTGGTCACTGGACTCTAAATGGTATTTTTTTTTAAGTTGAGCAGGCCCTAAAGATAGACATCAGTGTACTGTGAAGATTTTTTCCTTCAATGTAAGAATAGTAAACATTACGAGTAATGTATAGTTATATTTATAGGAAAATAGGGATGTTTATTTCAGTGTGTAATATAGGCAATTTTCTGTGTAAAATGGTAGATGGTGAGCTAGGAATCACTCAGTCATCTGTAGGCAAATAAACAACATATAGTCAACAGACTCATTGAACACGTTCATGTCACAACCCATAAGGCAGCTATAGGAGTGAGGGGCATTGCTTATAACAGAACAGAATAGAATGTGATCCTACCTGACCTCTTAATGTTTTAAGAATCACTTTTAATAATTCCATCTGGTCATGCAAGATGCTAGGATGAGGTAACTGTGGGTCAGACAGAATGATGCTAAATTATAGAAAATTAGATAGAGTAGAATCTTGCATCCATGCTTAGATGATTTACTTCTTCTCTTAGTACCTAATAAATCATGAGGCCTTTCATTTTGTGTTAGTCATGTTAGTTTTGTATTTGTAGCCTCGAGATTTTCAATCTTGATTACAATTGCATTCTCTTGAAGCTGTTTTCCCTCTATAACATTCCTTTATTTAAGTCTAGCTTCGTCGTGACTTTTTGATTCGAAAATAATCTTCAAAAAAATGAAATGGTAGTTAAATAATGTGTATGATGGGGCTCAGCACACATGTGAAAAGACATGTCTGGTATTTAGAAGTTTACTGAATCAAATGATACTATTTTGGATCAGGTTATTTTTTTTTTCCTTGGGAAAGTTACATGATACCAGTAACTTGTTCATGCTGTTGTTGCTCATCATAACTGTACAGTTTAGGCCTTAATACTTAAAAGGAGGTGTATTGTGGTTCAACAACTTGAAAACTTCAGGTTGGTATTCATTATCTAGAAGCTTCTACCATGTAGAAGAAGTACTATGGCACTCAAACACACTACGCTGGCTATGTCCCAGGGATTGCCAAAAACTGTATTATTCTGCCACATGATGAAGCCAAAATGGACTCTGCCAAGATATATCCAGAAGTATATCTAGCTGAGCAGTCCAAGTTGCAATAAATAGTTCTCCTGTTTGATTAAAGGGCAACCCTGATGCACCAAATGCATATGCTAAACCACAGTGAAAAATCATGTTCCACCAAGGAGGGTTTGATCGTTTCTTGTGTTAAGTGGATTTGATGGGCCTGAAAATATATCTTTGGTGTGTTTTCTATGTGTATCCATGTTTTGTATGCTTCTGTAGTTAGACCTGTAGATTACCGGAACTGTGAGCAACATTGTTGGGAGGGAACTTTTACAATATTTGGCGGTTGCTGAGAGTCATGATTTGTTACATTTGTGGGAGTAATTGACCGGCGCTGTAATATGGTGCTTATAGCTCAGGAAGAGTAGAGTGCCTTTGTCACTCCTGAAAGGTGGCAGAAAGAAGAGCTTGAGCTAGGAAAACGTTGTTAGGGAATAAACAAACACCGTGCTCCTGACAGAAATGGCTATGAGTCACTATGGAACAGGGACATCTTTGATTTGCAAAATTCTTGAACCCTACAGATAACATGACAAAATACAAAAGAAACCACACAGAAGTAGGACTGAGGTAAAAGTAAAGAGTTAATATTCCCTGAAGGAAGAGACTCAGCGTGCCACAGCTATTGCTCCTGTTGCTCCCCACCCCTCCACACACCAAGCTCTGTTTGGCTTTGGATACAGTCTGTGAGTATATATAGGAGGTGGAAACCTGACTGGAGGGAGCCCTCAGGTGAGACAGCTTTCCTGAGCTGGAAACCACACTGTTGTGAAATTTCTCAGAGATGCAGCTGCCATTGGCTCAACCACGCTCTTGTAAGTGAACTCCATTTGTGTTCCTCTAAGTAAACTTTATCAGTGTGTTATTTTGTCATGATGGGTTTGTATAGCATACTTTTGTTGGTCTTATTAGTGCTGTAATCTGTAGACAACTAATATTTGTTCATGTCTCACTTAGATTCAAGGTGAGGGAGCTGAGAATCTTAAAGAATTGAATTGCTAAGCGGACATTGAGATAAGTGGTTGTCTAAGGGAATCTTCCATCTCTGTTGATACATTACAATGCCTACAGTGATTATTTCATTTTCTTCTGTTTTACCTGAAGATAAATGGGGACAGTGTTGAAAGTGTCTAACCTGCTCTGAACCATCTTCAAATGTTCAGGTTATCTCCTACAACAATAAATAGAAAATCAACAAGTTGCTGAAATTGAGAACTTGGTCTTTATTGAAAACATAAGATCAAATGTCTATTTGCCCCCAATCGAGAAGAAGGAAGCTAATGATGCTTGTACAAGTCTCAGCCTGTCTGGGGCTAGGGGTTACTACCTGCGTTATAGAGCAATGAAGGTTTAATCTTCAAAGAGACCAAGTCATCAACTTCTCTGAAAGGTTTTCCTCTTCTATGTAAGAGAAAATAAAAGAAAAAAACTATTTAATTATTTAATTAATTATTTGTGGTGTCAGGGCTTGGACATGTATCTGCTCACTTAACTGGAATAAATATTCAATTCCAAATCCTAATGTAGACAATGAAAGCAGATTTGATTCTGTACAATTTTGATGTGTAGCAAATAAAATGACAAAGTAAAAAATTGTTTGTGCTAACAAATCACCTTAAGTCGTGGGTTATGTTTGAAAGAAAGATCACTTAGTTACAGATGTAAAATTTATTCAATAAAATGAAAATGAGCATACAGTCCTAAGACATTTAAAATATGCAAAATGAGGACATAAGAACTCTAACTTGGGATTCATCTCAGCTTCAAATGTATCCACTTTTGGGCAGCTGTTCTGCAGCAGCCAATGCTGAAGGATCACCTACCGCTTGAGGTGTGGTCTGGGGAACTCTGTCTTCCTATATACTCACAGTAGGAAGAGTGTATGTCCAGTTCAGCTGCACTGGACTGAGCTGGCACAGGATCCTTAGATCAGATCGTGCTTGCCACATAGGTTAGCTTGTGGAACTTCATTTCAAAACGGTCATCTCAGCATCATTTCTTTGTATAGCAGGGATGGGCCTGTTACTGCTAGTGTCAAGCCTGCTCCTGTGGAAATATGTGGCAACCACACCATACGAACAGATGTCTAATAAAGAGCTGTATGACGATCTGCTCTCCCTTTCTCATCGCACGCATGCAGTTGCCCGAAATATGCATAGAATTTTAGTAAGTACCTCACTTATTTCGTAATTTATCTCTAAAGTGAATGTCAGAAAATGCTGTTTGAACCAAAAGGCATCATGAATCAGATTTCAACTAATATGTTTTATATGCAACAGAAAAAAAAATTACTAAAATGTAGATAAGGGAATGTAGATTTATAAATAAGTCAACGATATTTTTCAAAATTTCCTCTAATAAACCTTGAAAAACAATCACTTTAGTTCTAAATATCAGCTATAGACATTAACTTCAGAATAAAATCACTGAAGGTGAACTGATTTCCTAGTCTTGTTTGAAGAATGTCTCTGGGTTTTCACATTAAATGCTATTGGTAATTCTAGCTTCATTTATTGCTAAATACTTCCTCTAAAACAGATCCAGATTTTTATGTTGTAATTTGATATCAAAAATACAACTGCATTACAAATCTACAATGAAGTTGAGATGGTTAAAGTATAATTCCATTTTACCTGAGAAAAGGGTATACATTTCCAATTATCTACTTAACCGCAGCACATCAGTTTGAATCATTATGAAACAAGTTATTCTTATGGAGTTCTGATTAAAAAAAAAAAAAGATTTTATGTTGTAGTATTTTCTATTGCTTTCTTTCAAAACAATTTAGGAATAGCAAAAAATCAAGAGCATAGTAAAGAAAAGAGTTTGTGGGGCCAGAGCATTCACTTATATGTCTAAAAGGAAGAAGAAGAAGAATTAGAAGAAGAATTAGAATTAGAATTAGAATTAGAATTAGAATTAATTAGAATTAGAAGAAGAAGAAGAAGAAGAAGAAGAAGAAGAAGAAGAAGAAGAAGAAGAAGAAGAAGAAGACATACAGTATTTGCCTCAATCCTCTATTTCAATTTATGCAGTCATTATGTGTTAAAAATGGAATATCTTATCAAGTCTCAGCAGGTCTGGCCTCAATGTCCTCCTCTGTGGCCTAGCTAGGCTGCTCTTCCCATGAGGGGTGGGGAGGTAAAGAGCTAGCCACTGAGTTCATGTCAGAGACAGTCCCTGTTCCCTTTCAGAGAGGGTCAGATGGAAGAGGAGAAGGACCTCCCCTAGCAGTGGACTTAGCAAGGGGCAGGGAGGAGAAGAAAGAGGGAGGGTGGGATTGAGAGGGAATGAGGTAGGGGGCTACAGCTGAGATACAAAGTAAATAAACTGTAATTAATATAAAAAATAAAAATAATTTAAAAAAGAAATTTAAAAAATTGAATATCTATCAAATACATAAAAGATATGTTCATAGATGTGTTTATTCCATTCTGAAACTACAAAACCTTAAATTATTTCATTCCCTTCAGGATTCAAAATTAGCTGGGAGAAGATGGTTTCAGAATAAAAGAAACGATACCTGCCAAAACACTTCTACCTCTACTTCACAAAAAGTAGGTTTTTGTCTATGTAATTTACCAAAACAACTTTAACAGAACTCTGGCTATTTGTACTATGTGTGGTTACTATCACGATATCATGTATAATAATCTCAGAGCCAATAGAATGAAGAAAGAAGGATTGGGCAGGAAAACATCACACCATCCACTAGATAACTAATTCAAATGCCAGCTTACATTATAGCAGGTGCCCAAATTGCCCATGTACATGTTCATTTGCCAAGACCTTGCCATTGGGATTAAAACTTTATTCTGAACTGGATATGAGTGATTGAATATATCCATACACGTGTGGAAGAAATAAAATACAAACGTGTTTGTGTTTAATACTAAAGGCTCCTCCACTGTTCTAATGTTACTTAATTGGCCAGTGTGTTTATTGTGAGTTTTAAAACTCTCCTGGCCTTGTTTCTGTTTCCTTTTTTGTGCAGTCATCTCTGAGTGATTTACCTTTAGTGATTCAGCTAAACAAGAGGGTTCTTTGTATACTATATTATGTATCTCAGGATAACCTTTGTTTCTCTGGGGTTGGCATTTTCAGTAGATCTAATATGTGACTGTTTTATCTCTTCTGGTTCCCAGTCATAATCAATCTTTGAATGATTTAAACTAAACTTATGTGTAGACCTCTCCTATATATTATGTGCCATATATGATTTTATCATTAGCACTAAGAACTTATACAAAACCTGTTCTCATTAAAGTGTGACTATAGTAGAATAAATGAAAGAAAAAGAGGTTGGAAAGAGACAATATTTGCATAGAGCTACTTTTTTTGACATGTCCACAAGCAGTCATTTGCCACTAATGCATGTATTCTACACAAATATTTCTTTAATGTAGGAGACTATTAGAAAAATAATGAACCGAGGTTCAGAAAGATGCACAGAACTTGTACATTTCTCTACAGTGTCAAATAACAATGTGAAGTGGGCTTCATCCACCTCCACTCCTCACTCTTTTTTTTGTAGTGATTTATTTTTATTTTTATTTTTTATTAATTACAGTTTATTCACTTTGTATCCCCCCTGTAGCTCCCTCTCTCCTCTCTTCCAATCCTGCCCTCCCTCTACCCCACCTGTAGCCTTCACCCAATCCACTGAAAAGGGAGGTCCTCCTGCCCTTCCCTCTGACCCTAGTCTATCAGGTCTCATCAGGAGTGGCTGTATTGTTTTCTTCTGTGGCCTGGTAAGGCTGCTTTCCCCTCAGGGGGGAGGTGATCAAAGAGCAGGCCAATCAGTTCATGTCAGAGACAGTCCCTGTCCCCATTACGATGGAGGCCACTTGGATACTGAACTGCCATAGGCTACCTCTGTGCAGGGGTTCCAGGCCATCTCTATGAGTGGTCCTTGGCTGGAATATCAGTTTCAGAAAAGACACCTGTGCCCAGAATTTTAGGATCTATCGCTGTCTATAGACATATGATATAGGATAAACAAACTAAAATCTGTACACCTAAAGAAGCTAATCAGGAAGGAGGACTCTGGCTAAGACGCTCAATCCCCATTCAGAAAGGCAAAGAGGATGGATATTAGAGGAGGGAGAAAACAGGGAACAGGGCAGGAGCCTACCACAGAGGGCCTCTGAAAGGCTCTACCCTGCAGGGTACCGAGGCAGATGTTGAGACTCATAGCTAAACTTTGGACAGAGTACAGGGAATCTTATGAAAGAAGTAGAGATAGTAAGACCTGGAGAGGACAGGAGCTCCATTCCTCACTCTTAATCACCATGCCATAATTCTTGCCCCAACCAATTTTGCCAGCACCCTTGCCTGCTCTTTTTCTTAATATCCTTTACATATTTCCTTTCCCACACCTGTTGGATTCCCATTACTTGCTGTTTCATTGCCAGAGACTAAAATCATAATAGCAAGCAGGTAAAATCATATATGGCTGTCATACAAGATTCTGGCAGTGATCATGAACTGGGCTGGTCAAAGTTTTAGTGTAATTCCCACTGATACTGGTATTGAAAGCAGCTGGATTACTCATTTTGTTTCTGCTGACCATGACCAAGTAGGTTGCTCTGCCAGGAGTATGAAGTCAGGTTTACGCAGAAAATCACTATTTGAACGCCTTCTTTTCTTCACTGTATTTATGTTTACATACTTTACAATAACCTAAACATCACAATTGGATGTTTAAATGAGCAAATTGATTCATTCAGGTGAAAATGCACCCAAAATTCATTTAGATGAGCTTCCGCTGTCAGTGTTAGCATTGCTTTGGTCTGAAAGAGATCCTGGTGAGACACAGTAATTTTTTTTTCAAACAGATGGAGAGCTGCAATTAAATAAGAGCAACCCTCTACATTATCTTAAGGCACACATACAGACCAGAGAATAATCCAAATTATGATCAGATTGACATGTCATTAGGAAAAAATATTAATACCTAATTAGCTTTATGTTAGCAAACTGTAGTTACATGGCTTAAGTTTCATATTTCTATAATGTGTATCATGTTCCAAAACATTTTTATGTATTTACTAACTAAAAGTGGTATTACCGTTCTCTGTCTTTGTGCAAGCACATCATGTATCTACTGTATGCTGTTTTGCTTATTTAATGCAATGTTCAATCTGATTGCTTAGACTGAAGATCTTCTGAAAGTCATCATCAATGTTTCAAATGCCTGGATATACCCACTGAGACTTCTGTCACCTGCAGTGCTGACTCATTTAGGGTCCTATGATGGTATGCTGTCAAGAGCCGTAGAGGTTAAATATAGAAATGAACAAGTTCTGAGGGGAGCAAAGGTTTTACTCAGCAGGGTGAGTTGTCTCCTCATATTTCTTTGATCATGTCATGCATGAAAGAGGTGATTTGTATACTGAGGTAAAAAATTAAAAAAAAAACAAACAAACTTCATTTTCAAGACCTTCTAATATATTTACAACCTTGTCGGTAAGGAACCATATACAAAACCAGCTCCTCACAAAGTTCTATAATGAGAATTCAATACACAAGTGATCTCAGTAGAAAATAGCTGGTCCTCATAGTAAATGGGAAGAAGCTTTTCTTGATGAGGAGGACAAACCTGTCTAACTCAGAAGACCTTAGGACAGTCATGTTTGGATATCCTGTAACATAACTCATTAAAAGAAATTCTCATCATACCTACAGTTTAGGAAAAATATGTAATATGAAAAATATATTGAATTGAAAGGCAAAAGACGATAAGGGCACTCTACTAGAACTCATATAATTATGGAGGACAAACCAGGAAAAGTACTAAGGACAGGAAAAACTCCCCAAAGGGAAAGATTAGGCACCATTTTCTACAATGTCCTTTGGTCAAATCCATATATATAGTCCCATGATAACTTGTTGATAGTCCATTTGTCTAACCCTGCATGAATGTTCCTCATTTGGAATCAAAGGCTTATCCAAAATTATGAGCATCTACTCCAATTCTAGTTTTATTAGCTAATGTTGTTATGATACCTTAGCTTAAGGACCTGACAATACAAGTTTTGCCTGGTTTTCTATACATACACACACACACACACACACACACACACACACACACACACACACATATATATATATATACATTTCACTCAAAATGTAGAAGTAATATTCACTATGGTGTGGAGATTTCTCATGTTTGAGTGCCTTTTTTGCAAGTATGAGAAACTGAGATTAATTCAAAAATTATTATCTTAAATATATATTATTGAAAAATCAAAAAATATTATCAATAAAAGATAATTTCAGCACTTGGGATGCAGAGGCAAGCAGATCCACGGTGAGTGCTAGATAAAAACTATCTTGTAAAAGAAACAGAAACAAACAAAAAATAGTAGAACCCATCCAAGGAAATTTATCTAAGGTTGAGCTTTGATTTCTATATGTACGCACACTCACATATATGCAAATCCATATACATATATGTGCATTCACACACACACACACATGATTTATAAGGGCCAGTCATACCAACAAAGTACATAATACCTGTCCTTTTGATGTTTAGATTCAGCCTAGTATTGAAGAACATGACGAAGCTGAATGGCCAGTACTAAAACAATTGAGGTCTTCCAGAGAAAGGACTCACCTGTTGGCATTTTATAAACTCTTCTACTGCCTTCGCAAAGACACACAGAAGGTGAAGCGGTATCTCAGGATCCTGAGGTGCCAAGCCATCAAAACCAGCAAGTGCTAAGTGCCTATCAGTGACATCGGCTGCTGAGGCGAGCCTTGATGAAGGAACCAGATCTTCAATGCTTTTAAAGTTTTAATCTCTTAGATTTGTTTTTATAAAATAAAATTCTGATTGCTTAAAATGCTTATCGACTTCTTGTGTCCATGTAGTATAAAATTGAAAAATAGCAATTTCATGTTCTTGTAAAATTTTTAAAAATAAACAGGGTTTGGAAAGAAAGCTAGATGACTGAAAAAATTTGCTTTTTGAATTTCAGTAAAATTTACTTTAGAATTATGACAAGAGATTACTATTAATATCAAGAGAGTAGCATTGATCAGTAGAAATAAGATGAAAACATGCAGGTAGGTTTTGAAATCAAACCATTCTGTCTGAGAAAAGTATCATGACCCAAGGACAGATGATGTAAGTTCTGGCATTTTGCACCATCCCCAGGTCGCATAATGTTTCAAACTTTCCAAAAAATGTGTTAAGATGTCTAGATTTCTCCAACGAAATCTTCAATTATGTTCTTCCATAGCACCAACTTAGAAAGATTGCATATACACTATGGTTTATAGAACGACTAATGTGAAAACAGTTCATCTGACATTCAAGATATTCAACACTCTCACCTGTAGTTATTAATGCCAGACAGCAGAAAAGGAAGACTTCATCGTTTCTTACAATGCTTATGCCATTTCCCTTTTCTGCATATCAGTGTTTATGACTTTCTCAGAATTCAGTAGATAAGGATAAATGAAAAATGGTGACATAACAAAGCTGATAAGTAAAGAGTATTACTGGATAAGGCTGAAGTTAAAATCACTGAGAATCAGGTGCTTCTGCCATGAGGCATATCAGTGTACAAACACACCTTTGGTGATACGTAAAGAGCTAGTGTCTATTAAGAGGCATGTTCTGTCTAAATTCTCTTATCCCTCCAACCATCTGTGCCCTCCACTTAATCCTCAGGCATGGTACTTGAGAAAAGTAACTGAAAGACTACTTTTCATCAACTTACACAGGAACCACATGCATCGAACCCACTCAGTAAGTAGCGTGGCAGCAGCACTGGATCCACATTGACACCTTCCTCCCCCACAAATCCTCTCAAACTGGAGTGGATCCAAAATGGAACAGAAACACAAACTCATTATCACACATTCACAGCAGGGATGTAAATCTATTACTCCATTCCAAGAATTTGGAATTATTCCAAGAATAATTTTCTCTATTGGCAATCATCTTAGAGTGAGAGTGCATCATACCTTTAACTAACTAACTAACTAACTAACTAACTAACTAACTAACTAACTAACTAGCTAGCTAACTAACTAGCTAATAGATAGATAGATAGATAGATAGATAGATAGATAGATAGATAGATAGATAGATGGATAGATAGATAATCCAACATTCTATTCACTCCATCTAAAGATAAATGATTGGGTAAATGTAACTCAGTTTGTTGACTGACTCTAAGCAACCAAGAAATGGGCTAATTTCATAGCCTTCTCTCCTTAGAAAGTAATGAGATTGCCTGGCTGTCATTGTCTTACACATAGGAATTTTCAGACACTTATAGGCAGCAGATAATGAGAGACGACAAAATTCACTTTTTATAGTCTATGTCTAAACCCATTGCTCTTTGATTTGGGTCCTGCATCCTCTTCCTCTGTTGCCTGGTAAGGCCTCCCCACCAGGAAGGTATGATCAAAGAGCAGGAAACAGAGTCATGTCAGAGACAGTCCCTGTTCCCCTTAGCAGGGAAGCCATATGGAGACTGAGCTGCCTATTGGCAGGGGGCCTCAGTCCTCTCTATGCATGGCATGTCTTTGGTGCATCAGTCTCTGCAGGCTCCTATGGGCCCAGAATTTGTGGCTCTGGTGGTCTTCTTGCGCTCCTATCTCCACAGGGTACATCTATCCCCCCACAGCCCACCATTTTTCCATAGATTCCCAGCACTCTGCCCAGAGTTTGGTTGTGAGTCTCAGCATTTGTTTCGATCCCCTGCTGAGTGGAGTCTTTCAGAGGACATCTATGGTAAGCTCCTGGTCTGTTCCTTTATTCCACCAGCCATCATGTAATTCAAGGAAAAAAATATAGGACACAGTCCAGAGTATACATAAGTCTGACAGTGGCTCAAATTAATTAGTCTTTTCTCCAGTCTTTGGGGCAGTGGGCTTAATGCTTTCTCTATTCTCTACCGAAGAAACATTTCTGGGGATATAGAAACTCAAACATTCTGGTTGAACTTCAATGTGATTGAACTTAATGATTCAACTTCAATCACTAAGCTTGTTTATTTTTGTTTAGATTTAATTATTTTTAATTTAGTCAGTAACATTCTGAGTTTTGACAGGAGCTAAAACTATACAATAGAAAAAAGACAGCGTCTTCAAGAAATGTGTTGGTGTAGTTAGATGTCTACATATAGAAAAATCCATACTCATTACCCTGCAGAAAACTGAAGTCCAAGTGGACCAAAGACATCAAAATAACACCAGACACTCTAAATCTTTTAGAAGAGAAAGTGGGTAAGAGCCTTGAACTCATTGGCATAGAAGACAACTTCCTGAACTAAGCACCAACAGCTCAGGCTCTAAAATCAACAATTAATAAATGAGACTTGAAAATGAAAAGCTTCTGTAAGGCCAAGGACGCTGTCAATAGAACAAAAGGACAGTCTATAGATTAGGAAAAGATCTTCATCAATCCTACATCTGACAAAAGGTTAATATGCAAAATATATAAAGAGCTCAAGAAATCAAACATCAAGAAACAAAATAACTCAACTAAAAATGATAGACTAAGATCAGAAAGAAGGAAAGGAGGACCTCTCCTATCAGTGGACTTGGGGAGGAGCAATCATGAAGATGGGGGAGGGAGGGTGGGATCCGTAGGGGAGGAGGAAGGGGGTTATGGGGAGATACAAAGTGAATAATGTTTAATTAATTAAAAAATGTAAAAAAAAATGGGTTACAGAGATAAACAGAGAATTCTCAAAAAAGAAATATCAAATGGCAGAGAAGCATATAATGAAATACTCTCCCACCTCCCGCTGAGGGGGGAGTAGCCTTACCAGGCCACAGAGAAAGACTATGCAGCCAGTCCTAATGAGACCTGACAGGCTAGGATCAGATGGAAAGGAAGGAAGACCTCTCCTACCAGTGGACTTGGAAAGGGGCATGGCTGGAGATGAGGAAGGGAGGGTGGGATTGGGAGGGAACAAAGGAGGGGGCTACAAAATGAATAAACTGTAATTAATATAAAAATAAAAATTAAATTTAAAAAACAATTTAAAAATGCTCTCCCATTCCAGTACTAGCCAGGCCCAACACTGCTTAGCTTCCAAGATCAGACAAGGCCACGTGCATTCTAGGTGATATGGCTGTAGGCAGAATCTGGAAACAATCCAGATGTCCCTGAATTGAGTAATGGATATAAAAATTGTAGAACATTTACACAATGGACTTGGCCATTAAAAACAAGGAAATCATTAAATTGCATGTCAGTGGTGGGAACTAGAAAAGGTGATCCTGAGTGGGGTATCCCAGAAACAGAAAGACACACATGATATATACTCACTAATAAGTAGATATTAGATATATAATATAGGATAATAAATAATACTAAAATCTGTACACCTAAAGAAGCTAAGCAAGAAGGAAGATGCTCAATCCTCATTCAGAAAGGCAAATGGGATAGATATCTAAGAGGGTGAAAAAAAGGAACAAGAGGAGACTACCCCTTGAGGGCCACTGAAAGAATCTACCCAGCAGAGTATTAAAGCAGATGCTGAGACTCATAGCCAAACTTTTGGGCAGAGTGCAGGGAATTTTATGAAAGAAGGGGGAGACTGAAAGAGCTGGAGGGGACTGGATCTCCACCAGGAGAGCAACAGACCCCAAAATTCTGGGCACAGCGGTTTTTTCTTGAGACTGATAATTCAACCAAGGACCATGCATGAAGATAACCTAGAACCCCTGCACAGATTTAGCCTATGGCAGCTCAGTCTCCAACTGAGTTTCCTAGTAATGAGAACTAGTAATGGGATACCTCTGAAATGAACTCAGTGGCTGGCTCTTTTGATCACTTCCCCCTGAGTGGAGGAGGGAACCTTACTAGGCCACAGAGGAAAACAATGCAGACAATCTGATAGGCTAGGGTCAGATAGAAGAGGAGGATCTTCCCTATCAGTGGACTGGGGAAGGGGCATGAGAGGAAAGAGAGGTAGGGCAGTGTTGGGAGGGGAGGAGAGAGGAGGCTACAGCTGGAATACAGAGTGAATAAATTGTAATAAATAAATAAAAATTTTAAAAAAGAGAAATGTTCAATGTCCATAGCTATGAGGGAAATGCAAATCAAAATGACTCTGAGATTCTATCTTACACCCGTCAAAATGGATACAATAAAAAACTCAAGTGACACTGGTGGGGATGTGGAGAAAGGGGAACACATCTCCACTGCTGTTGGGAGTGCAAAGTTTTACAAGCATTTTGGAAATCAATCTGGAGTTTCTCAGAAAATTGGAATAGATTTACCTCAAGACCTAGATTTTCCAATTCCTGGGTATATACTCAAAAGATGCTCTACCATACAAGAAGGATACTTACTCATTTATGTTCATAGTAGCTTTATTTGTAATAGCCAGAATCTGGAAACAGCCTAAATATCTCTCAACCAAAGAATGTATAAAGAAAGAGTGGTACATTTACACAGTGGTGTACTACTCAGCTATTAAAAACAAAGAAATAATGAACTTTTCTAGTATGTGGCTAGATCTAGAAAAGATCATTCTGACTGAAATAACTCAGACCCAGACAAACATATATGGTATGTACCCATGAGTGGATTTTAGCTATGTAGTACAAGATAAACACACTACAATATAGAGACACAAAGAAAATAAATAACAAGGAGGATACAAGAAAGGATGCTTAAATCTCAGACAGAAGGGGAAATAGAATTGACAAGTTAATGTTTGAAGAGAGGGAACAAGGCAGAAGAGGAAACAC